TTATCTGGTGATGCTACTTCGCTTACGCCAAGCATCGACTCATCCATTTCTACTAGAAGGCATGATGGCAAAGTATTTTACTCAGCGTGACTTGGAAGCAACTCGGAAACAGTTGAACGACCTCAAAGGTGGCAGTACCGTCTACAATCAGATCGGCTCTTGGACTCAGAGGCAGCGGATTGGCAACCGTCGTCTCATTGAAGAACCAAGCCTGCTGAATAATCCGCAGCTTGTGAATGGCACCGAAGAACTACTTGACACACACATCACCCAGACTGATGAGTCAGTCCATTGCAAAGCAACGAATCAGGGCCTTTCTCAGCTCAATGGCGGCGAGGGCGCTGTTGAGATATTTGATGACACTGATGAGGTCGACAGCCAAGATGAGGCCGAAGAAGATGAGGATGGCCTGGTCCCGGAGCGCTACCTTTCGCAAAGAACACAGCCGGGACATGTAGAAGGCATGGATGTCAACACGGAGGATTCACAGCTTCAGCCTTTTGGTCATAGCGACTTTGGTCTTGCATTCGACATGTCCAAACAGATACAGTACCTGGAAAAGGTCTTGGAGATGAAAAGGTCCAAATGCGCTAGTTGCCACCAAAGATCGCCTTTGAATCCAGTCAAGGGCAGCAAAGTAAGTCATCAAATCGTTCCAGCAAATGGATCCATTCTTTTTTGAAATTTGAAAACCCTGTTCACCTAGCTAACATTGTTTACAGTGCGGCTGCGTTTTCTGCCCCAAATGCGTGGTAGATCACCTCGCAGACAATGTATGTGCCATTCAACTGCCGCAGTATTGACCAACGCTGACTTGAGGTGTTCTTAGGGTAGGAAATGTCCCAGATGTCGCAGAGAGATTGGCCGTCCCAATAAATTGAAGCCGTTCGACGACGAGGAGGATGGAAATGCGGGGTCTACCACGCAGACCCTCAATGACAAGGAGTACGCAAAGGGGTTCGACTACACCGGATTCCAGCACACAGAAGATGACAAGGACGAAAAGCATGCAGTCAGATTCTTGCAAGTGGCAGACAGGCATCCAAATTTGCCACTTACCCCCAGTGCCAAGTTGACGGCTTTGAAGGAGACAGTACTGAGATGGCAGGCCGAAGCCCCAGATGACAAAATAATCAGTACGCTCCTTGCTGCATTATCCCGCCTCATGTATCGCTCATCACTGACCCAAATCTTTCTAGTCTTTAGCCAGTTCAACGTCGTCATGAAGCTCATTGGTCGGCTACTCGAAGCTGAGAAAATCGACTTTGCATACCTCAGCGGCAAGCAAAACACCGAGCAACGCAACAGGGCCGTGGACGAGTTCCAGAACGGCGACAAGATCAAAGTCCTCATCGTGTCGCTCCGAGCAGGTGGTCAGTGTCTGAATCTCACAAAGGCAAACCGTGTCATTCTCATGGAGCTCTGGTGGAACCATGGCGTGGAGCAGCAGGCCTTTGCTCGCGTGTACCGCATCGGCCAGATCAAGGAGACGCATTTTGTGCGCTTTATCGTGGATACGCCCATCGAGCAGCGTATGCTACAGATGCAAGCCAGCAAGATACACGCCATCGATGCGGCCCTTCAAGATGACACGATCAGAGCGCCAAAGCTCAGCCTAGAGGACATTGGTAATCTTCTCGGCAAAATCACTTTCAGAAACGGAGCCATTCACCACGTTTCTGCCGACTATGATGACGCCAACGATAATTACGACGATTATGACGACAGCAGTGATGATAGCAGTGATGATAGCAGTGAAGAAGAGGGTGATCTTGAGGGATTCGTTGTCTCCGATGACGAGGAGGAAGCTACTGATTCGCTTTCTGACGAGTCGGAAGAGGAGTGAACCTCTACAACCGAGAATTCCCGCATACTTGGACCGAGATCATAGCTTGGAGTTGCCCTCATACGACACGGCGCGACATGATGCAAGCAGCATCTCGTTTTCTTCTCAGTTTTTGCGACACACGTTTCTGACTTCTACCACTTGCTTCTCTAAATGCACCACGAGAAGGTGCCATATATCCCCGGAACATATCCAACCAAACTTGAACATACTGGGACATTGAGCTTTGACAAAATAGAGGAGATTGGTCTACCTTGGCAAAGCGATGGAATTTACGCACCCTGGATGAGGGAGGAGTGCGCGTGGAAAGGACAGCTTGGAAAGGACAGCTTGATGCCAATGATAGAGGAGAGCTTTTCGTGAGGAAACGAAGAAGCTACAAGGGAGGTCAGAGAGACATTCTTCTAAAACAATGAGCTCAGGAGACATGAAGAACAACTTCAGCCATCGTCTCTCACATAACACATAGACTGCTTTTCAAAATAGACTTCTCGTATTCAATCCTATTCAATCCTTCGCCGATTCCCCGCGTCGGACACCTTTATATGCAAACTTGGCGTTTTCTTGTGCCGGCATATGCAGTCTTGGTGGACGTCTCACCACTGTCGCAAATATGTCGGCATCATTGCATACTTCGGTCCTAAGCTCCTACGGCGTTAGTGGGGCCGAAGGACCGAACTTGCCGCGCGTGCAGCCCTCCTGCGCCGGAGTTTGTGGGTCCGCATCTCCGATGCTGCCGATAAATGAACCCCCCACCGCCGAGCACAGCATAGCGACCAGAGTATGCTCGGGGCATTAATCAAAAATTGGTTTAGTGTGATAATGATATCTGTTCATTCAGTTCATGTGGTATCAAGGCGAAAAATGACTACGCTAACGATGTTCTCCTTCCTGCCCGTTGCCGGGCTTCGTCTTTATCCCGCCGTAATTTAGACGGCGTCCTCCGATGTCTGGCTTGCGTGTCTATCCACGGCTTCTCTACGGCACAAAATAGACATGCGTTAACAAGACCCTGTATCGACAGGCTCACAAGTGATAAAAGCACAACCACGAAGGGGCCAGCTTGCTCTGGGTTGTCCCAGCGCATGACGTGGGCGACAAAAGGAACCGCCCAAATGAGTATGTATACAAGTGGGTAAACAAAAAGTAGTCGCAGTTGGCGGCGAATCTTGTCGCGAGTCTTTGCCATTCCTGTGCCGTCAATAGTAGGATGGTAAAGAAAGGGAGTATTGTTGTGGTCTATGTCAGAGTCGAGGGAGGTGCCTCGACGGAGGATTGACCAGATGTTGGCGAGCGACTTGGCTCGGGCGCTTGTTGGGCTGCTGGGTGGTTGCCACTGAGTGCTGAAGCTTCCGTGATCATAATATGTCTGGGCCGGATTCAAGTCGACCGTATCCCGGCGTATGTAGCTTTGCGGAGGAGGCGAAATAGGTTCAAAGTTGGTGGAAAGTGGACTTGTGCTGGCCTCGAATACACGGGGGGAGACATTATCATTGGATTCCGGGATGCGGCCATCGTCCTCGTTTCCATAGCTCGGCCAGTTCCATTGAATCTTCTGCCGGCTGTGGAGAAGCTCAATCTCGGTGGTCATAGTAGTGTTTGTGGAAGAGGTACGTTGCTGATCCGAGTCTTCCACCGAGGTTTCCGACCCGCGGCGTGATGTTGGGGTGGCTGGCACCGATGGAATATGGGCCCACTGCCCATCGTCCAACATATGTGTTGCACTCGCACGTCGCATGGCACTGAGTCGACCGAAACGCCGCATGCGAAGAGTGACATAGATATAGATGTAGGCGTAAAGCGCAACAATGGTGAGCAAGATCATGTAGCGGGGAACCCAGCTCAGGGCGAGTCTTGCCCATTCGGGGCGGGCGGGCAGGTAACAGTACTCCCCGTTGTTGACGTAGCCGGGCCAGTTGATAAACGCCAATGAAGCCATCAAAAGTGGGAAGAATGCAAAAGCGCTGAAGGCAAGACGACGGTGGGGGTACAATCCGCTCTGTCGCCCGGAATGCCGCGGTCGGAAGATGTAAATGGCTGTGTGCAAAGCGATAAGCACAACAGCAATGTCCGATGCCTCTATGCCGACTGCGAGGAAGAAGCCGCTGGCTTGGCAGAATGATGACCTCGAGGCAACTGGACCACTCTTGAAGTCGACGATCGGGAATATGATGAACCACAGCGATTTCAGCATGTCACTCGACATGAGCAGCATGATGAGACTGTCAAGTTGTCAGTACAATGCCCGTTTTCCGTCTTGGTGCGAATAGCTTTGTCCAGCGAAGGCAATGCACCCCCGATTGAACGTTACTCACTCATGTCTGAAGCTACGCCTCCTCCTAGAAAACCAGTAAAAGGCGAAAGTTACAGACGCAAAACTCAATGCAGCGGCAGCAAGTGACGTGGATTGAATAATCGTCCACTGGTGATCGGTCAACCCATCGGGAATGCGGGTATAAGCCGTATCTATACGGCTGCTGATAACTTCGGGCGGCGACGCAGCTGGTGATTGTGATGCACCAATGTTGTCCAGTGCGCGGGGCCACGGTGCCATGACGGCTGTGGTTTCCTGGACACCGGACGTAACCTTGGAGTCGGCGGGATGATTCGTTTTACGTGGGAGGCTTCGGATTCCTCATGATGATATGATCGTGACCACTTAGACGACCCTCGTGCTTGGTGTTGGCGTTTGTAAAGTCGGCGATGAAGCTGCGAATCTGCTTGTATGCCCCTCGATTTTTGTCCTTGTCCAACTGCGGGTATCTGCGATGTGCTCGTTTTTTGACCCGTCATTCAGCTTCCCTGCAATGTGTAACGCTCCCTTCGATGTCCGTAGATCCCCCTCTCGTGATCGGCCGGCCCTTTTTAAGATATTCGTAGATCAGTGGGCGAAACTTTGTTTCCGTGGTGCTTTGTTTGCCTCGATGACCGAAAACAGTTACAACTTTGGGTACAGCGATTACCCGAGCCACGGTCTTGCGGGGGAAATTTCCGGTCGTGTACGGACCAGGATGGAAGTTGAATATTGGATTGGCTGGGAGATACAAATTTCCTTCTTCTCGTCAGATGGCCAGAGGTTGTGGGAGAGGATAGGTTGGTGGTTATAGGGAAAAGGTGATGGTACGTAAGTCCTATTTTGGTAAGCCTTCAGCCTTCAATGAGCAGGGTCTGTGGAATATGAGGTCCGTCCTCCGCCTGGTATCGGATTGTCGCTCAGGAAAGGGCGACAGAAGCTTAAAAAGGGACGGACGCAGGCGAGACATTTGACCGCGAATAGGGGAGACGGGGGTCGGAGGCGCTCAAAAAAGCAAGACAGGCTATTAGCGTCGTGATTTGAGGCTTTTGGGCGGATGTCAGCTTGGCCAATAAACAGGCGGCCAAGGGAATAGGCATCCGGTGCGGTGTGGTGGTGTCTGTGTGTTTGTGCGTCGATCGTGTGATTGGGGGCGTGGAGAGCGGTGAGGGCGTCTGTCGAGCGAGCCAGCATGCTTCGTTGGCGTCGGTGTGTGGCAGAGTGTGAGAGTTTGGTGGTTGATAGGTACTGCTGAGCCGAGGGGGGTAGACAATAGGAGGGCGTTTGCTACCTATAATCCTCGCTGGTTTGGGGGTCGGCGACCTCAGCAAAACGAGAGACATGAAAGAGACAAGTCACTTGCTGGTACTCCGTATAGTCGGCGGCACAGGGGTAAGGAGCACTGCAAAGCGGCTGGGTTGGGTCGGATGGCGGGCTAGCAGTCTGGGTCTGCTGGACTCGTTTTCTCGTCTGGTTCGCCAGGCGCTTGTTGGACAAAAAGCAAGAAAGCGTGTCTATTTCCCAAACAGGGCGGTTATGCATCTGAGGTGATGGTACCAAACTGAGGTAAGCAGCGATGTGGGCGGATGGGGGAACAACGAGGCGACGATCAGTGATGACGATGTGCATTCGTCCATTCCGTGTGATCCCCAGGACAGCCGTGACTTTCTCACGATGCGATGCGTATGGTCAGAAAGAAGCCGACAACCTCGACCTATGCAGCAGACAGCCGAACAGTATGCAAGTGCTCTGCTCTGCCTTGTTGGTGGTATTGGCCGAGTTTGCTCATCAGCAGAGCTCTAAGCAGGCCCATGACTAGCTTCAGCGAACCGAGACAAGTGACGAATGGCGGAAACCTCAAGCGCCAGCTAGCGAATAGTTTCTGGTTTAACGAGAGTTTCGTTTGCGAAATCGGGCCTGGATGCGGTGAGGCAAGAGGGACAAGAAACCCGGCCAACCAATGCCGTTGTAGCTTGTAGGTATTTTGGCGGAAATCTCGCCCGTCAGCCGCCGTCGGCTAAAGTCACGTCGAGTTGGAAACATTCCAAAACATGAATGTCACTGAGTGGTTGATGGGACAGTGACGCGATGGCCATAACCAGATCTAAGTTAATCCACGGATGCGGAATGGCCGTCGCTGAGCGACTTTGACCTTCGCTGCCCTGTGCCCGGGAACGGCACTGAATGCCTGGTAATCCGTGGGTGGAGATAGAAGTGCCGGCATGATGGTGGGGGATGGGGACCGTCCACTCCTTGGCTTCGCTATGAAGGGAACAGCTCAGCTGGTGGTCGAGGCAATATTGCTGTGTATGTGGTGGTCCGCAAAGACAGAGTCTGTACGCGCGTTGCATAATAAAGCAACTTGTGCAGAACCAAGCCCGTTCGAACGTAGTGATGATCGAGCTCAGTAGAGATGTAGATGTAGAGGAACGCAGGAATGGTCAAGACAGGAGGTGTGGCTTTGACGGGTGCGCAGGGACTCTCTAGCGGTGCGTTTCCCGAACTTGCGGTTTGCCAGGTGACGTGGACGGGACGTTGTATTTTCGACCATCCCTTCAGGTTGAAGCCGAAAACGGGCAACGGATGCGCCGATTCGCGTTGTATGGAGGGAATTGTATAGAGGAGCTTCAGGTTGAGACGGAGGAGCCATGATCGCTTGGCTCGGTAAAGGCCCGGCACTGGTGCTGACGTGTGCAAAGCATGTATCGAAAAGCCCCGAGGGCCGCGGCAACATTACGGCAACAAATGAGTGCTCATGACGTATCGTGAAGATGCGCAGTTGCATTGTAATGGGAAAATAAGATCCCGTCTCGACGCAACGTGAGTTGGTGAGATGGATTGGAGGGTGCGATGCGGTGTCACAGATGAAGAGAATGCGCAAGTGGCACGGGATAATAAACTGGGATAATTGGAAGGCACGACGGGCACATGGCCGAGGCAAGGAGCACGGGCGGGAACAGCTCATGATCGGCAAGAACCAAGCAAACCCAGAAATGAGGCAGGAGCTGGCGCAGCCAATGTACCTTTTTGTACGGATAGAGCTGAGCTGACTACCTACGTAGGGACGACGGGCAGGAGCTGAGGTTGCAGCAACGTGAGCAGGAAGGAGAGACATGAGGTAAGGTAGCCTAGGTTCTTGCCTTCCATGGTGGTTGTTCGTAGAGCTGCAGGTGCAGGTCACGGTGCACAGGGCACGAGATGCGCTTCCCTTTCCTTTTTCCATCTGTCCAAGAGGCACCACTAACCAACCAGTACGTACTTCGTACAGCGCACCTCTACCTTACAGAAGGAACGAATAGATATGAGGCAGGTACGAATGGGCACAATTAGGTTAGAAGAGAATGGGCAATATCTCTTGAGGTAAGGTACCTAACCTCAGGTACACCAGAGCCGGCCCTCAACGCTTTGAACACCAACCAGACTTCCTCATACACCTGGTAGGCTGGTTCGCATAGCGCTCAGCCTTCCGCCCATCAGTAGGTAGCATCTCGGGATCGTATTGATGTTCGGCTTGACAGACTTTCATCTTGGTCGCTGAAGTGCTTCACCTGAAAATGGTAAAGAAAGACCCAGCTCCGAAGAGACGAGATGTGCCTATAGTTGCTCCTTGCTTGTTGCACGGGGCAGCCGCTTGCATTGGACGCACTTGCCTACCGTTCTTGGGGTTCTCATGCCCTCCTTCCCTGCCATGATCTGCCGCCATCACCCGGCATTTTAAACTTGAGCGAGCGTCTTAACCACCATTACTATCGCTATTACTGCTCTCTCCGCTGCTTTCGTTGTTACATCATATCATGTACTAAGCGTACCTTTCAAAGCCCAGGGACACAGTAATATGGCGAACAGGAATAAGAAGCAGCCCCTGATTTCATCTTCCTACCCGGCTCATGCTCTTGCCCTGTCCTTGTCATGTCACTACGTACAGTGGGGACCCATTAGTTTCAATACACCCACCATTTTCCTAACCACCTGCATTTTTACTATACTACTTCCACTAGTAACTAATTTATTAGATTTTAGATTTATATAGTAAAAGTATAGTTAAAAGAAAGCCCAGAACTTACTCTTTAGTACCGTATATACTATCCCTATACTTTAATTACTACGTAAAGTCTACGTAATAAAGACTATATAATAGCCCAAATCTTTTTTTATAAAATAGCTTCCTATACTACAGTTAATTATTATTTAAACTCTTCTATATCTAACTTATTTTTCTTTAAGTAGAATGTTTCTAAGTATAAGTAATATAGGTTACCCTTTATAAGCTTTTAGTAATACTTAATTAGGTTTAGATTAAGTAAATAAGGGGGCTATTTAAGCTAGGAGATTCCCTAAGTTAAGAGCTACTTAACTATTTAACTTAATATATAAATAGGGGTATTATTTTAAATAAAATACTATATATTATTTATAATAAATAAATACCCTTTTTTTAAGTAGTTAATATAGTTATTTATATTATATTTTTATTATTAAGAGCGGCTATTACGAATAAAAAAGACTAATTTACTTTTATCCTCTATTTATACTATTCCCTATATTATAATAAATATATTTACCTTAATATAGTTTATAAGATTAATAAATTCTTTTTTTTAGCGGTTTTATAATAACTTAAATACTTATTAAATCGGGGTAGAGGTATTATTTTAGTATAAGCTCTTATTAAAAAATTAGGCCTAAATTATAAAAAATTAGTAATTAAATCTTTATATAAAGTCTTTTTACTAAACTATATATTATTATTAATTTTTTAGGGTTTTTAAACTATTTGTTTATAAATCGGAGCTGTAAAACTACTATTTTTAATATTATAAAAGGCTTTTTTATAACTATTTATTTATAATATCTTACTTTATATAGAACTTACTTAATTATATTAAGGCTTATTTTACTATTTTACTCTATAATAAGTTATTAATATAGTTATTAGTAATTAACTTTTATAAACTTAATTATAGCCCGTTTCTCTATATTTAAAAGTTTTTTTAACTAGCCTAGCCGGGGTAGGCTCTTAAAAGAATAAGTAGTATTAAACCGTTAAAGTACTACTTATATTATACTAAGGGAGTAATTAAAAAGCGATACTACGTTATAATAGCTTTTACTACTTATAACTAACGTAATAATAGCTACTTATTAATATTTAGTTAGCTTATAACCTAATTTCCTACTTCCTAATAATTCAAGTCTAAAAGCGCGTTTTCTAGCCTCTATTTACTTAAGTTATAGTAGTTAAGAAGAAAAGTAATATATAGTAGAAGACGCGTTAGGACGCGTAAATTGGTGGGTTGTATTGAAACTAATGGGTCCCCACTGTAGGTACTTGCCTTACAGTGGCTGGCCCGAGCGTCGCATCCGATGCCCCATGTGAAGCACGAGCCACGGGAAGAGATCGACTCCCTGTCTGGTCTGTCCAACGAGGTGAGGAACAATGACGGATGCTGTTCGCTTGCTGGAATGACGGTACCTTGGCTACGTACCTCGAGACACCCCATGAGTAAGCCAAGGTACTTCGTACGCTCCTCAGCTCCTACTCACCGACTCCGAACTTCATCCAAGGGACTGTTGTCTCCCTCTTCCTCACCACCTTGCAGACAACTAATTTTCTCCGATTTCTTTTGGACAATCGGCGGCCTATCCATAATTCCTTCGAGGCATCTGATCTCGCTGATCCGAGTCATCTTGAAGCACTTCACGATCTCCAAGAGCGGTGAAACACCACCGTTTCCGCGCCTCGCTGGCAGCAGCAACAACTGACCAAGGACGGCGCCGACGGCCATCTTCATCTCTGACGGCAACTTGGCCGGCGTACCTAGCTCAAGCGAAGCGTATCTACTGTACGTTATCCGAAGCGTCAATCCAAAGTGCACATATCTATACATGACATCCTGGCAAGCTGGGTAGGGTATTAACTACCCGTCCACCCCATCCTCGTCGTTGGTATGGCTACCGATCCGAGACGCTAGGCACCATGCCCTGTGTTCCCCCTTCTGGGTTGTGTTTTGGGAACAGGTCTACGTCCGTATTTTTCTTTTTCGATGGGACAACCAGCACCACATTCCTCCCTCTCCAAACTTTGTAGCCGACAGCGACAGAGACATGACCCCCATTTCCGTCGCCCATTGGATCAAATGTGGGCTGGTTCATCCTTCCAGCCCAGTTCGCAATCTCTTGTGAGTTGCAGATGCAGACAGTGTGTTGAGCCGAGAACACAAGCGCGAGACAGGTCTCGGCGCCATTGGGGTTATCTTGGTTCTCTTCACGCCGACACAATCTCCCTACCTAGCTAGGTACCTACTTTCTCGCATTTTGCAGTGTGTGTCCTAACACAATAGGAACAGGCTCTACAGTCCCATGATGGCTTGCTGCTATCGAGATTGAATCTACGGAAACCGCACCATGAGACGGGTATGTTCAGCGCCATTTGGATATCGTGCCTCAGTAGGGTCATTACATGCAACGCTACTCAGTATGCTTTCGTCACCCGCACACCATCACCGAAGAAATGCAGACCACTCTCGCTCGCGTCGGTCATCCTGTGGACCAACAATCCAAAAAAGCTCTGACCCCGTCTGTTAGCCTTTGCTCTTTCAAACCGCCTGCGGTCGCCTGCGGTAGCTTGCAGTATGTGCCTAGAATACGAAGACAAATTTACCCTCTTTTGGCTCTAGGTCCGACTTTTGAAATCCTTTGGACGAAAAGCAAAGCCTTTGGTGTCTGTCCTTCAGGTGTCAATTGTCAATTGCGCAACACGCGTCGGAAAAGGAACAGACACCTCTTATGTGCCGCTCTCCGCCTCCACGCAGCGTCGTGGCAGACCGTCGCCCTGACCCTGAGCCTAGGTATTCCCAATCCCGATTCAGCTGGTGCCACATTCGGGCGTTTACCACCACGCAAGCACCTGAACCGGGCTCATTCTTCCCGCAGTCCTTGCTCAAACGGGGTAATTTGGTTGCCCGCCGACCCTTGTCTAACGCTGAAATCGCCATCTGCCGAGCATCGTCCAGATCTTGCTTGCGCAACATTCCCATGATTGGCTGATTGCATCGATTATTCCCACTCGAGCCGTGCCATCCTAGTCGGCGATGGAAAGCTTAACCTTCATTCCGGGACTTGGACCATTGTTGTCGGTGAGCCAGGTTGGGCTGTCCCTGCCAGCCAACCAACACACAACCCGCTCCAAGCAGTCAGGCGCACATATTTGGGCTCTCCTCAACCAACTTACTACCCAGCAGGACACTATTCGTCATTCATGCGCTTCCTAAGTATCCATCTCGGCTACCTTTCGACCCCGAGGTCTTGTAATCCTGCGGAGGTTGGGGAAACTGTAAATATCCTATAACTATCCCAGTCCTGACCCAGAGCATCTTAGTTGACGTGGCGCCTGACTACTTTGTCCTGGCGCTCCTATCGGTTCTGTGGGGGACCATTCGTCCGAATTCAATGTTGTCATCACGTCCTTCACATACGCGGATAATTACTCTTCCTCTATTTCCATCTTCCCTGGCTGTGCTCGACGCCCCTCCAAGGCTAGCGTTACGAAAGACCGAAACCGATATTCTGCACGGCGAATACGTTTGCGAACGGACATTATGGGCAGCTCCATTTCGGGGTAGCTTGGAAGGTCTAGTCCGCGTTCGCCGTTCAGCCACTTAGAGGGCAAAGCCGGTAAGCATGTCGGGTCTTTGACCTGTTGCAACCTGCAAGCCCTCTGAGTTCGTTTGAGAAAACCGTTACCCTCTCGCAACCATCTAAACTTCCAGATGACGGCCCTATTCATACCTCGGAGGGTTCTGGCAGGACCTCCTACAACACCTGAGCACACTTGAGTTGAGCAACCTAGGTTATCCCGTAGTCCCGAGGCGACTCAACTTTCCGAGTTCAAAATCGAGGCTCGGACACGTGCGACCAAACTTGAAGATCAATGAATACAGTCTGGCTAATGCCCAAGATCATGCGCCACCTCTGCTCAAACAGCACGCATCCTGGTCTTGGCATTTTAATGCTTTACTTGCCAGCCTCACCAAATCCCTTCCATGCAGCCTTTAGAAGCTATGTAGGCAGACTCAACTAGCACAAACTCTTGCCAGCAAGAAACATCTTCACACGGGTGTTTCGATCAACCTCTACGGTCTTGCCGACTCGGGTATTGCTTACTTCGTATGTAGGCGATCGCCGATAATCTCCTTGTCGCAACTTGACCTCGTACCGTGCCGTCATCTACGAGCAGAAAGAAGTTTTGCGTTCTTGCTGCTTTGAAGGAGGCAGAAATCTGATCTTGGAAGCTTCGTTAGACATTCCTCAAAGGGCAATGTTGATACAACACTCGTAGGACGAGATGTCTCTCTGCCGTCAAAGAGTATTTGGCGCGAACGTTGTTTGTTCTTGGCATGGGTCCAGTTACGTACAATGACCAGTCGCGCGCCTATCGTTACCCGCGTTCTATCAGACGAACTTCAACTCGCCGCCCCGATTTGCCGAGTCGAAACTATGCATCCAATACTACCCGGGACATCTACCGTTTCACAAAGAACCCAGCACTCAAATCATCTTATAACTGGGCTCATTGTGGGGGAGCTATGGCAACGCCATGGCCACACTCATGACCATGGAGATCATCAGATGACCGGTCACTGCCTCGTTTACCTTTTTTTTTTGTCGTTTTTAATGCCCCCCACGGAGAAATCTAATGAGTTCAGGATGGTCCTCTGAGGACAACGCCTTTTGCGAACGGCTTCCGTAGACCGGGCTTGGGCCAACCCAGCCCTATGAATGGAGACATCGACAGAACAGGGAAACCCCTGTGTCCAAGACTACCTTCGAGGACGGAATGAGTCACAGACCTGTCGTTCGTGATGTCACCCCTTTTCACAGCTGCTTCCGTTACCCGAATTAACCGAGGCCGGAGGGCACGTCCGACTGAGTCGAGTCCCAACCGGGAAACTATCTTTGTAAGTGTTGCGCGATAGCTATCAAGATGCCGAGCCTTGGTTTTCTTTTTCCCGCGGAACAGATTGGGCCCGGCATACTTCTGTAAATGATCGGCCTTATTTACGAACTCGGACCTCGTTGTTCAGCACTGCTCCAAAAGGCTTTTGAGGGGCGCGAATGGGTTGGTAGTAAGAGATATCTATTGAAGCTCTCATTGGAGCTGCCGTCTATAATCTATGTGTATCGTTTGTATCTGCTTTGTGAAGTGCGCGTATTGCATGACTATAGATGCAATTTGGCACCTCTCCAACCGCCAAAGATGATAAGCCCCTTCCTTCGAGGCTCAGACTTGGGATTCTGTGAAAATCATCAAGCAAAGTGTTCGGGTGATAAATGCAGAAAATTGCCTCATGTCGAAAGCGTGGAATCGTTGGGCTCGTCGTCCTACTTATGATCGTCAGCCATCGTGAGGTCCTCATCCTTAGGTGCCGCATCCTCAGCCACGACATCCCCCTCCCCCTCCTCCCCCTCCTCCTCTCCAATCTCGCGAAGCAAGTTGGCCTTAAGCTCTGCCCAGGCATTGGGAGCAGTCAGAGCCATGACCTCGTACTCGCCGAGAACCTGGGGCACGTGGCGGTCGTCCTGGAGGACCTCTTCAATCTCCTCGCACTTCTCCTCTTGGAGATTGCGAATGTCCTCGTCGATTGTGTCCCGAGCGAGGATGCGGACGTAGTGGGACTCCTTGACCTGTCCCATGCGGAAGACTCTGCCAAAGGCCTGGCGCTCGGCGGCGTTGTTCCACCATACATCAATGAGGATGACGCGGTTCGCGCACGTCAGGTTGAGGGCTTGGCCTCCGCATTTCATGGATGCGACCTGTATGCGAGGAACTCAGGTTAGCTTTTATTCATACAAGTTGACATATACGCAGTTTCAGGTTTGGACTTACGAGGACTTTGGCCTCAGGGTTGTTCTTGAACTCGGAGACTGCTCTGGACTTCTCGGCAGGCGTCATTGTTCCCGTAAGATAAACGAACGGGATGCCTTCGAGATTGAGCATGACACCGGTCATGGTGGATGTCTTGACAAACTGAACGAAGACTGGCATCATGTTAGTACTGTGATGGCTGGGAGGCAACGAAAACGGATTAGCAGAATGTGGCGGGAAAAGACAGTCTTACTGATGATCTTGTCGTCTGGGCTCTCTTTTTGCCAGTTGATGACAACGTCCTTGCAAGCTGTGAGCTTGGAACTGGCGCAAGGAACGCCTTCGGGATTGTTCATGCCAATTCTGATGTAGGCCTTGTCGTCCGCATCGATGACTGGAAGATTACCCAGAATATCCGCGCCGTATCTGAGGTTGATGAGCCTCTTCGTCTCCTTTCGCAAAGCCGCCTCGGCCTTCTTCCTGCTCGTTTTATTTGCCTTCTGCTTCGTCTTGCGTGTTGTGCTACGAATGGACGCAGTATCATCGCTGTTATCTCCGTCTCCGTCCTGCATGATACATCGTGCTTCCTCTGTGCTGAGAGTTGTCACCTCTTCCCACTCTCGATTGTGTTCTACGCCACATACTGGGCATTCACCCTTATTGGCTTTGAGAACCTTGTTAACGAAGCAGTTGCAGCAGAACATGTGCTCGCACTGGAGAATAGTGGTTAGCATGACACCAATCATTTTAGAAAGCATGACTAGAATGAAACTTACCGTTGGCAGTACGATAGGGTCAATCATGGCCTGGTCGCGCTCGCATATGCCGCATCGCTGTTCGTTCACCAACTTTTCGATGCTGGTCAGTTCCAGAAGTCTTGCCATGTTGAAGCTTTGCCCGAATGTCGATTTACCGAAAGGTTCGGTGAAATAATACTCCTCAGGCGGGATGTTTCTGACTTGTGCAGCCGCCTTCTCCATCAGCTTCTCTTTCCGAGCTTTCTTCGCTGCTATCTGCTGCTTGCTCAGCCTCTTCTTCTTCTTCTTACTCTTTCTCTTCTTCTTGCCAAAGGCCCTGACATGACTCTCGTCATCAGTATCAGGGACGGGTGGCACCTCGCGTCGCTTAGCACGCGTGCCGATCTGGTGAAGGATAGATGTTTGTCCTTCCAGCTCGCGGAGACGGCGCGCCATGTGCTTCAGACTATATGGCTGTATGTCTTCTCGCAATGCCTTTTCTAGGCCATAGGGATGCGAAACGGCTTGTCGCCGGCGAAGGGTAGCGACATGCTTCTGGGGTGGATGGATGTTCTCGTAATGGTTGCCCACAGTACTGAGAGTTAAGTTAGTTCCAAAACATGGTAAACCTAGAATACTAACGTACTCATAGAGGATTTTCTCCTCTTGGGACAGATCAACCCACTGATCCCCTGGTGTCAGAGCGGGAAGATCGAGGATCTTCCGACCTAAGAACTCATCCTCTTCAGTTCTATCACAATTTTAGTGGAGTTTCAAAGATACAACAAGGTTTGGTTTTGCTCACCTCCGATAAGAAATCAAATTGACCAAAGCATCAATCCTAACTGTTCCGTTCTCCTGCAACATTGTAAGCATAGAAACCAGGCCTGAACATCAAGACTTACCGTGTTTAAGAAGTCTTTCTCGAATTCTTTCTGAGTTGTGATGCCTTCGACTCCGATAAGCTTCATGTACGGAAAGAGTTCTGGGCTACATGTTAGCTGGGTCATCCTACTGCTACTGGAGAATTGTGAATCACCTATTCCACGGTTGATGAGCGGCGTTCCGCTCAAAATCCAGAAGTGCTTTGCCTTGAGTTGATGAGCAGCTAGGGTTGCTGAAGCCTTGTGAGAATATGTTCCGAAAAAATCCACAAATGCTCGACTTACTCCGAGCCTCGAGATTCTTGATTTGATGGCCTTCGTCCAAAATGACACGATACCATTTGATGCGAAATAACTCGCCAACCAATGTCTGAAACTCATTGCTATACGCAGTGGGATCTTCTGAGTGCTTCAGTCTCAACTCATCAAGTTTCTCTCCTTTGGGGAACTCAGCGAGAAGCTCATTGTATGTGGTAAGCCTGGGATAAAGTTATTAAGCAAGGATGCAATGAGTGTAGATCACTGAAAGTATTTGACTTACACGATCGTGAAAGTCGCAATTCTGCCCACGCTGAGGGTGTTGGACCTTCTTCGGAAGTAATAGACATCATCAGGGGGAACGTTATCGAGATGGTTCTGAATCTCTTCGCCCCATTGCTCAGCGACGGTCTGATTGGGAAGGATGATCAGAGTGGCACCACTCCATTCCCGCCTATCCTCGTCGTCGGGAGGATTACCGGTGACGCAAGCAAGAGACACAACTGTCTTTCCCATGCCAGGAGCGTCTGCGAGAACACCGCCATACGGATGCGTTTCTGCGTTTTCACGCTTCACCATCCACACGACGGCGGTCAGCTGGCAATCTCGAAGATTCGATTTCATACCGCGGAGGTGGTAATCTGTCTCACCGACAGCTCTCACCATACCACGACCCAAAAAGCGCAATGCTTCTTTCAGGTCCCTCTTTTGAGTCGCGCTATGGCGATTGTCGTTACCATGGGTCTCAGCCTGGGCAAGTTGCTTCAAGCGGGATGCCACGGTGACTCTGCTCTGGGACGAAGCAGGGATCGCACCATCGCTAGCAGCATTAGCCACACTGCTAATATCGTGGAACATGTGGGCGGTTTTCTGAATTGCGGCGCTGTTATCCAAGTTGTTGTGCGGTCGGGCAGCACCATTGGACTTGCGTGCACACGTACGCCTCTTCGCTTTGGGTGGCTTGACGTCCGCCTCATCTTCTCCCATTGCTCTCTTCTTAGTAATCTCCTTTCGAAAATGCTCTTTGAGATTCTGATGCTTCTTCTGGTGGTCTCGTGCAATATATTGCTTGGCGGTTTTAGCCACAGGGCCTCGAGGGAGTCTGGGCTTGCGCAACTTCTCAGCTGCATTGCAAGATGCATCATTACGGCCGCCGTCTTCATCCAAGACTAAGGTGGGTGCATCCCCCAAGTCATCATCGGTGTCGGTGTCGGTGTCGGTTTGGGGATCGTAGTCCGAGGCATTCTCGACGCTTTTGTCTTGCCTACCGACATAGCGGCGAAGACCGTTGTTTCTTTGGTGTGAGTTCGTAGAAATGTGACTCACTCTGCCCTCATCATGAAGAGTTGTCATGGATTCGACCTGGGGAGGATGGTCTTCACTCACAAATAGTTCGGAATCGATGTCGCCAAACGAGTCGGGAAAATTTTGGGTAGGGGTGTTTCGCAGCATATCCAATTGCAACTGATCATCAACTGCGTCAATCTCCATCTCGTCTCTCGGCATCTGCAATGTCATTTCTGAGCCATCACTCAATTGACTTGGATGTAGGCCTTGCTCGGAGCCGGAGTGTTGGTCCATGATACTTCGATGAAGTAGGGAAAGTCTATGAAACTTGAAGTCATATGTTGAAAGATGAATGATCAAAGTTCATTCAATGCAAGTGAAATTGTTGGAAATATGAAAGCTGATTTGAGTACTTGAACCTTTGAAGGAAAAGTAAAAAGGACTAGGTAGGAAAGTCAATTGGTGTGATGTTGTATGGAGAGGAAGAGATAGATTGATGAGGGAGTGAGAGAGAAGTAAGCTTTATATAGGCCTCGAGAGAGATTCTGGAGGAAAGAGAAGCAGGCCAGGCTTTCTCTAGAAATGACTCTCTACGGCAGGAGCAGTCCGATGTGATAGTTACGCGAGAAAGGGTCAACGAAGTTGGCAGGAATGTGGAGAATTTGATTCCGAGGCAAAAAAGATGTATGAGTGCTGACCGTAGTGTACGCGACACCCAGAGCCAACGAAGGGTGGGAATAACCTCATCAAGAGACGTCGGTGTCTCGGTGAGGGAAAGAGTCTCGGTGAGCCTCACCGAAGCTCTCTCACCGCCCTAGTGGCAGAATAGAGGCTCCACTAAATTTTCATCGACCCCACGCCCGGATGGCTCTTCTCCAAGCACTTGCGACAGCAAATTTACGCCTTTTTCACCACTGCCAATTCAACACCGCCGCCATGTCTTCAAAATCTGGCAAAAATGGCAAGGTCGCCGACTCTCGTTTCTCAAACTTCGAAACCGATCCTCGGTTCCGAATGCCCTCGAAGAAGCACACCAAAACCAAGATCGACAAGCGTTTCGCACATGCACTAAAGGACGAATCCTTCACATCCGGCCCAAAAGTTGACCGATACGGCCGCAAAGTCAAGTCCGACAACAAGAAGAAGGCGCTGAAGAACTTATACGAGGCGGAGGACGACGAAGAAGACTCAGACGAGGGCGAGGACATCGAGGTCGAGGCCGACGATGTTGTCCAGCGCGAGCTTGCAAAGGCGGATGCCAAGTACGACCCTGCTCGCGGTGGCGGCTTCTCCGAGTCCGAGTCAGAGTCGGAATCTGAAGATGACGAGTCTGACGAGGAAGAAACGGCTGTCGCTGACCCCAAGGCTTCCGTGTCGCGCCTGCGCGACGAAGAGGCCCAGGTCGAGGAGGGCGAAGTCACGAACCGGATAGCAATCGTCAACCTGGACTGGGACAACATCAAGTCGGCCGATCTGTTTGCTCTTTTCCACAGCTTCCTGCCTTCAACTGGCGGGCGCATTGAAAAGGTTGCGGTCTATCCTAGCGAATTCGGCAAGGAGCGCATGCAGCGCGAGGAGCTGGAAGGACCCCCTAAGGACATTTTCAAAAAGGATGACTCTGAAGAGGAGAGCGAGGACAGCGAGGAGGAAGACGAGGCGATCAAGAAGGAGCTGTTGGAGGAGGGCGACGCCGACGACTTCGACCACGACGCGCTGCGCAAGTACCAGCTGGATCGGCTGCGGTACTTTTACGCTGTCATGACCGTCTCTGACAAGGCGACAGCGCAGAAGCTCTACGAGGCGACCGACGGCACAGAATACGCGTCTTCATCAAACTTCCTCGACCTGCGATTCGTACCGGACGATACTACATTCGACGACGAGCCTAGAGACGAGTGCGACAAGTTGCCGGAGGGATACAAGCCTGTCGAATTCACTACGGACGCTTTGCAGCACTCCAAAGTCAAGCTCACCTGGGACGTCAACCCCGACGACGCCGCCCGCAAGGCTTCCATCAACCGCGCCTTCACCGGAAGTCGTTCGCAGATTGAGGAGAACGATTTGAAGGCCTACCTGGCTAGCGACAGCGAAGACTCCGGCGAGGAGTTTGCGGGATTCGACGATGAGGAAGAGGCCGAGGATGAGGAGGAAGCGGCCGAGAAGCCCAAGCTTTCCAAGAAGGAGCTCGCCCGTCAGAAGATGCGAGAGGCTCTTGGCCTCGGCGCCGAGGAGGAGAAGAAGTCATCCAAGAACGCCCCCGTTGGCGAGATGGAGATTACATTCACGCCCGCTCTGACGGAGAGCAAGAAGAACAAGAAGCCCGAGGAGGAGGAGACGACGATCGAAAAGTACCAGCGTAAGGAACGCGAGCGCAAGGAGGCCAAGCGTATTGCCGCGCGCGCCAGACGCGAGGGCAAGACCGGCGCCCCCGTTGCCGAGGAGGCCGAGGAGGTCGAGGTCGCGGACGACAGTGCGGAGGACCTCGGGTTCGACGACCCCTTCTTCACGACCGACGAGCCGGTCAAGACCAAGACTTCCGTCCGCAAGGAGGAGCGTCTCGCGAAGCGCGCGGCGCGCGAGGCCGAGGAGAAGGAGAAGGCGGAGCACAAGAAGCAGCTGGAGCTCCTGATGGCGGACGACAACGTGGATGGGGCGGAGCACCTGGATCACTTTGACATGAATGAGATTATGAAGGCGGAGAAGGCCAAGAAGAAGAAGGGCAAGGCCGCGAAGCGGTTGGCCAAGAAGGCGGCTGCCGACGGCGAGAAGCTCGGTCTGCAGGAGGACTTCAAGATGGATGTCGGCGACGATCGTTTCAAGGCCGTCTTTGATAGCCACGAGTTCGCTATTGATCCCAGCAACCCCAAGTTCAAGGGCACGGAGGCGATGCAGAAGTTGTTGGAGGAGGGTCGCAAGAAGAGAAAGGCTGGCGGGGACGTGGAGGATGTGCCTGTGGAGAGGGAGGGCAAGAAGGCGAAGAAGGCCAAGAAAGTTGGCGGCGGCGACGATGAGGAGGAGTTGAGCCGGCTTGTTGCGTCGGTGAAGAAGAAGGCGGCGAGCAAGGCTGGCAAGAGATGATTGCGGGTCATGTCTTTGTTCTCGCGCATTGGTGTTTGATTCGAGGCGTGTTTGTGGTCATACCCTAGAATAGAGGTCATACAAAAGTTATTGCAATGTACAAAGCACATGTTCATAATAATGGGTATCAAGGATTATGCGACAAGGCAGTTGAGTTCTTGATTTTGTGACGCTGATTCATGAGTTGCTTCCTTGGGTATCTCATGCTCGTGGAAAGAACCACCCAATGCCCCCTGGAGCCGCACTTTCCATTCTTCGAAAATGTTCGGCCTGGGATTGTCTCGCTGATGACTCTGCCCTGATCCTCGTTGGGCGCTATGCTTCTGACTTCGCTGTCCCATTCCGCTGTTCTCTTCATGATATCTTCGTACACTCGTAGCTCAAGAGCCAAAGAAGGCGCGGACGGCAAATTTGATAAGGCGAGGCGTGCCGATCCTTGCAGAGATGAGGAAATTATCAAGTGTAGGTTTCGGGCGAGCTCGTGTGGCAACAGATGTCCCCGTCCGACCATGGGCATCGCCGTTGTCGTTGGACATGGGAAGGCCGGTGTAGGGATCCCACTCCATGTCTTCCTCGTAGATGGAGCCGAGCATGCTTGCGATCCAGACGAGGTTGGCGAGTATGAGGGTGAGAAGGACGCCTCTCAGGGTAGCCTCATTGTGTGAATAGGTGGGAGGCATAGTCTATTCTGGGTATGGTTATGGAGGCTGAATTATATCCCGGTGAAAGTCGAATGTCGAGTTTGAAGAGGGGAAGAATTGAGATGCGACCAAGAACGTCAAGGCAGGAGCGGGAAGGAGCCAGAAAAAAGAGAGGTCTCATGATGTAGCCTGTGACGAATACTTCAGTTCTTTATGTAGTCAGCCGGCACATTCTACTGGAAGGGAAGGGCCGGGATCATAGTATTTAGGCAGCGTCACATGGCAAAAGGCGTGGGCGGGCAGGCTGCATAGATGCTGGGAGAACAACATAGGCGCAATAACATAGGTGCATCATGGAATCTTGTTCTATTTTAGATGATTCAGCAGAACATGGCTGCGAAGACTTTTGTTTATCATGACTTGAACAACAACGAAAGAATCTTTACCGCACAACGGCATCCTTCAAGCTGGGAACAGTGCAAAGACCGCCAGACTTGGTCTTGAGCTTGCCAAGACCCTGCTTTCCAAGCGCTTCAACAACACCAGCATCAAAGGCAACGGCCAAGTCGTCGGTGGTGGTGAAGCCGGGCTGGAAGGTCTCCCAGATCTTCTTCTTGGGGTTCAGAACACCCTCGGGTTCACCTTCCCAGCCCTCAAAGTTGATACGCTCACCTGCCTTGGCATCGGCAGGGGGAGTGACGAGCTCAACAGGTCCCTTGTGATCGTCGACCTCGCCTTCCTTAAGCTTGGGAGAAGCGGCAAGAACCATAGCGCACGACTTGATGCCGCGCATCTTGACGGGCTTCAGGTTGCAGACGACGACGACCTTGCGGCCTTGCATAGACTCGAGGGGCACGAGGCCGTTGAGGCCAGAGCAGACGGTGCGGCAAACCTGGCCCTCATACTCGGTGGTGTCATCATTGGGCTCGTCGCCGACGGCAATGGTGGAGACGTAGAGGGAGTCGGCCTCGGGGTGCTTGATGGCCTTGAGGATGTGGCCGACACGGAGGTCGATGAGGGCAGGGGAGAGAGGGGCAGCAGCAGGAGCAGCCTTCTGGGGCTTGGGAGCCTTGGCCTTCTTCTCCTTCTTGGGCTGGCCCTCGCCGGCACCGACAGCGGCCTTGACCTTGTCCTTGGCCTCGGCGACAACCTCCTTGACCTTCTCGCCAGCGCTCTTATCCTTCTTGGGCTCCTTGGTGCGGTCGGGCAGGGCCTTGTCACCAGCAGCAGCACCACCGGCGGCGGCGGCAGCGGCCTTCTCCTTCTTTAGACGCTCCTTCTCGGCCTTGGCATCGACGGGGGGCTTCACGTAGAGGACCTCGTCGAGGTCAACCTTGACCTTGTCGTCGGCCTTGACATCGGCGGCGAAGGCGGGGAAGTTCTGGACGAAGTCGAGGTGGCGGACGATGTTGGGATAGCCCTTCTCGCCGGTGCGCTGCTCGGGGGACCAGGAGGCGACGAGGGGACGGACGGCGGAGTAGAGAGCGGTGTCGGCCTTGCTGGGCTTGGTGC